AGGAAATTAAAAAGTTCCTGGAAGTCAATGAAAATGAAAACACAACCTACCGGAACCTATGGGACACAGCAAAGGCAGTCCTGAGAGGAAAGTTATAGCCATGAGTGCATATATTAAAAAGACTGAAAGATCCCAAATCAATGACCTAATGATACATCTCAAACTCCTAGAAAACAAGAACAAGCAAATCCCAAAACAAATAGAAGGAGAGAAATAATAAAAATAAGAGCTGAAATCAACAAATAGAAACCAAAAAAAACCATACAAAGAATTAATGAAACAAAAAGTTGGTTCTTTGAAAAAATAAACAAGATCAGACCCTGGCAAACCTGACTAAAATGAGGAAGAAAAAACCCAAATTAGTAGAATCAGGAATGCAAAAGGGAGATAACAACAAACACCATGGAAGTCCAAGAAATCATCAGAGACTACTTCGAGAACCTATATTCAAATAAATTTGAAAATCTAAAAGAAATGGACAGATTTCTAGATACATATGACCATCCAAAATTGAACCAAGAAGAAATTAATCACCTGAATAGATCTATAACACAAAATGAAATTGAAGCAGCAATCAAGAGTCTCCCCAAAAAGAAAAGTCCAGGACCTGATGGATTCTCTGCTGTATTCTTTCAGACCTTTAAAGAAGAACTGATACCAACCCTCTTTAAACTGTTCCATGAAATAGAAAGGGAAGGAAAACTACCAAGAACATTTTATGAAGCCAGTATTACACTTATCCCAAAACCAGGCAAAGACACCTCCAAAAAGAGAACTGTAGGCCAATATCCTTAATGAACATTGACGCAAAAATCCTCAACAAAATCATGGCAAACCGAGTTCAACAACACATCAAAAAAATTATTCACCACGACTAAGTAGGATTCATTCCAGGGATGCAGGGGTCGTTCAACATATGAAAATCAATAAACCTAATAAACCACATTAATAGAAGCAAAGACAAAAACCACTTGATCATCTCAGTAGATGCAGAAAAAGCCTTTGATAAGATCCAGCACCATTTCATGATAAAAGCTCTAAGAAAACTAGGAATAGAAGGAAAGTACCTCAACATTATAAAAGCTATATATGACAAACCTACAGCCAGCATTATACTTAATGGAGAAAAACTGAAACCATTCCCTCTAAAATCAGGAATCAGACAAGGATGCCCGCTATCTCCACTCCTATTCAACATAGTACTGGAATTCCTAGCCAGAGCAATTAGGCAAGAAGAAGGAATAAAAGGAATACAAATAGGTAAAGAAACTGTCAAAATATCCCTATTTGCAGATGACATGATCCTATACCTTAAAGACCCAAAAAACTCTACTCAGAAGCTCTAGACACATCAATAGCTAAGCAAGGTAGCAGGATATAAAATCAACATAGAAAAATCATTAGCATTTCTATACACTAATAATGAACAAACTGAAAAAGAATATATGAAAACAATTCCATTTACAATAGCCTCAAAAAAAATCAAATACCTAGGTGTAAACCTAACAAAAGATGTGAAAGACCTCTACAAGGAAAACTATACACTTCTGAAGAAAGAGATTGAGGAAGACTATAGAAAGTGGAGAGATCTCCCATGCTCATGGATTGGTAGAATCAACATAGTAAAAATGTCTACTCCAAAAGTAATCTACATGTTTAATGCAATTCCCATCAAAATTCCAATGACATTCATTAAAGAGATTGAAAAATCTACTGAAATTTATATGGAAACACAAGAGGCCACGAATAGCCAAGGCAATACTCAGTCAAAAGAACAATGCTGGAGGTATCACAATACCTGACTTCAAACTATATTACAAAGCAATAATAAAACAGCATGGTACTGGCACAAAAACAGACATGAAGACCAGTGGAACAGAATAGAGGACCCAGATATGAAGCCACACAACTATAACCAACTTGTCTTTGACAAAGGCTAAAAATATACGATGGAGAAAAGCAGCCTCTTCAACAAAAACTGCTGGGAAAACTGGTTAGCAGTCTGCAAAAAACTGAAACTAGATCCATGTATATCACCCTATACCAAGATTAACTCAAATGGATCAAGGATCTTAATATCAGACCCACAAACTCTAAAGTTGATACAGGAAAGAGTAGGAAATACTCTGGAGTTAGTAGGTATAGGTAAGAACTTTCTCAATGAAACCCAGCAGCACAGCAACTAAGAGATAGCATAGATAAATGGGACCTCATAAAACTAAAAAGCTTCTGTCATCAAAAGAAATGGTCTCTAAACTGAAGAGAACACCCACAGAGTGGGAGAAAATATTTGCCAGCTACACATCAGACAAAGGACTGATAACCAGAATATATAGGGAACTTAAAAAACTAAATTCTCCCAAAACTAATGAACCAATAAAGAAATGGGCAAGTGAACTAAACAGAACTTTCTCAAAAGAAGAAATTCAGATGGCCAAAAAACACATGAAAAAATGCTCACCATCTCTAGCAATAAAGGAAATGCAAATTAAAACCACACTAAGATTCCACCTCACCCCTGTTAGAATAGCCATCATCAGCAAGGATGCGGGGAAAAAGGAACCCTCTTACACTGTTGGTGGGAATGTAAACTAGTACAACCACTCTGGAAAAAAATTTGGAGGCTACTTAAAAAGCTAAACATTGATCTACCATTTGATCCAGCAATACCACTCTTGGGGATATACCCAAAAGACTGTGACACAGGTTACTCCAGAGGCACCTGCACACCCATGTTTATTGTGGCACTATTCACAATAGCCAAGTTATGGAAACAGCCAAGATGCCCCACCACTGACGAATGGATTAAGAAAATGTGGTATCTATACACAATGGAATTTTATGCAGCCATGAAGAAGAACGAAATGTTATCATTCGCTGGTAAATGGATGGAATTGGAGAACATCATTCTGAGTGAGGTTAGCCTGGCCCAAAAGACCAAAAATCGTATGTTCTCCCTCATATGTGGACATTAGATCAAGGGCAAACACAACAAGGGGATTGGACTTTGAGCACATGATAAAAGCGAGAGCACACAAGGAGGTGAGGATAGGTAAGACACCTAAAAAATTAGCTAGCATTTGTTGCCCTTAATGCAGAGAAACTAAAGCAGATACCTTAAAAGCAACTGAGGCCAATAGGAAAAGGGGACCAGGAACTAGAGAAAAGGTTAGATCAAAAAGAATTAACCTAGAAGGTAACACACACACACAGGAAATCAATGTGAGTCAACTCCCTGTATAGCTATCCTTATCTCAACCAGCAAAAAACCTTGTTCCTTCTTATTATTGCTTATACTCTCTCTTCACAAAATTAGAGATAAGGGCAAAATAGTTTCTGCTGGGTATTGTGGGGGTGGGGGGGAGAGGGAGGGGGGAGTGGGTGGTAAGGGAGGGGGTGGGGCAGGGGGGAGAAATGACCCAAGCCTTGTATGCACATATGAATTAATACAAATTTAAAAAAGCAATAGAAATAGATATGCTTTTTTGCATTTCTTTTGTTCTGTTGGTGCTGCGACAGGACTCTGTGCCTTGCTTATGCTAAGCACATGCTCTACCACTCTACCCCAAACTCAGAAATTAGTATTTTGAGATAAGGAATTCAGAGATTAAAAACATTCTCCTTCACTGAGTTTAGAGTTACAAATAAATAATGACTCATAGACACATATTTTCAAAGCCCTATGGCTACTTAAAGGGAAATAAGAAATTTTTACCCAAATACAAAATTATTTAAAAATTAGCTCACTCTAAAATGAGACATAAACATATCTAGCCAGTTCTTGCATCAAAGATGGTACTGTTTTGTAGGAGAGACAACAAACTAGTACAATGCCCATAAGCTTATGCATGGACATCGATGGTAGGAGGAGGATGAATGGTTGTTTCTACTGTACACAGAAGGAATCAGAAAAAGCTTCAACAAGGTCATGTACTTTGAGTTAAGTCTTAAGAGTATTTGCTAGTGACGGGGAGAGAATTTCTTCTTTCCCCCGCCCCCCCTTGTGACAGTATCTTGCTGTATATCCCATGCTATCCACCTACTTGTAATCCTTCTGCCTCAGCCTCCCCACTTCTAGGATTGCCAAGTGTGTGCCACATGTAGGATTACTGAGCATCATAAAGAGAGCATGTTTAAAGATACACAAACAAAAAACTAATACATTTGAGCACAGTTCTTTTTGGAGCTTAGGATGAAAAGGAGATGAGACAGCAGTGTGGCCAAACAGAAAGGCAGTAGCTGTGGGAGGCTTTGAATGTTAAGATGTTAGAACTTTGTCTTGTAAGTGATGTGTGTAATTAAAGAGTTAGGATTTGAATTTAGGTTCCTCTGTGCCATGTTACTTAAAAACTGTGCTCTTATTGGGTAATAAATACGTGTTAAATCTTAAACAGGCATTGAACTTAATCAGGCACATGATAATAGAGCTTAACACTAGGATTTGTGTAACTGGGAATGCATCTAGGTGAGGGACTAGTTTAGAAGCAGAAATGTCTTCATTTATTGAACACCTATTATGTTTAGACACTTTGATGGATTTTAGCTTATCATTCCTCATCACTATTATTGTCCCTTATCAATAAGGAAATGATCTTGATTAAATGACTTTGTTCATGACATGATAGCAATTAGTGCCAGAGTTTGAAATTTGACTTCTGTCTCCAAGTCCAGTGTTTTTGTACTGAGTAACAGATCTGGTACAGGGATTGTCAGCATGACTTCTTTACTCCTCATGAACGACTGCAGTCCTGTCCCTCCTTGATAGTGATATAGAGGCAAAGAGGCCAGAGTAGGCCACAACAGTTTTAAAATACTTTGTTTAACATGGCACTACTAGCACTGGGGTAGAGCTTCCTGTGCCATTGGTCTTAAATGGTTGGAGTTAGATCCAAGTAGGATGGAGGAAGCAGGAGAGATTTGGGGATTTGGAGAATAGTTGAAATAGTTTTTATTCTCTATAATATACTTCATTCATATATGTTTCTTCTAATATTTTGCAGGTTTACCTTAAAGTAAAAGAGCCTATTTTCCATCAGGTTATTTTTAAATTATCACACATTTGATTATTTAAAAGTGCATGCCGTGTTTTTGTGTTTTCCTTCCTAGGTTATACAGATATAGCTTTTGAGAATGAGGGCTGGGATGTAGCTCAGTGATGAAGAATGCTTGCTTGAAATGTTGTAAAGCCTGGGTTCAATCCCAGTGCCACAAAGTAAACTTTTGCAAATGAAATGGTAGATGTTCAGCATTCACTGTTTTAAAGCAAGGTTGTAAATTCAAGTACCTTCAAAGCCAGGTGTTGGTAATAGGAATATACCTGGGAAAGCCAATCCCCAGGTTCCAGCTGCTGTTGGTATTCAGTAATCAGGTGCAGTTGTTCACAGAAGCGAGAAAGAACCAGGAAGCATTACACACATAACATATCCATTGCAAAGTCTTTTCATGATATGATGATCTAGAAAATACAACTGCAGATTCCCTAACATATCCCCCTTAATATATTTTAATATATTTTTTGACATAAGTTATTTAACATTGAAGGAAGCAAATATAAAACTTTGTTGTAAGGATTGAAGTGTATTCCAGTATGAAACCAGAGTGAAAGAAAGCTGCAGACTTTAAGTAAAGAGAGCTTATTATTTACTGAGTGGTGAGGCCCCTGAGTTCAAGCCATACCACAAAAAAAAAAAAAAAAAAAAACCACCAAACCAACAACAAAAAACCTGACTAGCCAGTTGCAGTGGGCTTATGCCTGTAAGCCTAGCTACTTGGGAGACTGAGATTGAGTATTTTGTTCACCTTTCTCATGACACAGCCATTGAGGGGCAGATCCAGAACTATAGTCTAGATTTATATGACTCTGTCACCATTCCTTTAATTCCTTTAAAAGGAATACAGCTACTATAAATAAATAGATAGATAGATAGGTACACATGTACATAGAATAAATAGTTTCAGAGGCCTTGTAGTTTTAAAATATCTTGTGCTTATGCAAACAATAAATTGTTCTCTCAATTTTTTAAATTCAAACTGTGCAACAATTATCTAACTAACACTTAGTTGAAATAAATTCCATAATCTCTTATAGAGACCTTGATTTTTCCAGGCCAACTGGAAGCAAAATGTACTCTATACTTTTATTTAGGAAGAGTTATTTACGCTAGTGAAAAATAAGTTGTTATATGAAGAAGCTTCAATTTTATAAATTTCTCTTGTTCGTTTTATAGAAAGAAAAATCGCCACAAAACAAAATTTAGAAATTCAGGGCTAATTACAAGTTTATGACAATCGATTTTCCATTTTGTGTTCTAGGCCTATTTGATACTGTTTACGTAATAAAATTAACAGACTATTAATGTAACTACCATGCTGGCGATTCTATGTGTTTTTGCAGTAATAAATACTTTCTCCATATAGAGCAATATATTTTCTGATGGAAAAGGGAAGCAGAATGAAAATTGTCCATGTTCACTGGGGTTTATATCTAGGTCTAGATATAAAAAACAGGATGGGGAAGCGTTGGGAATGTTGCCCTGGCTTCAATCCCCAGCCACACACAGACAAAAAATCAGAATAGGAGCTTCCATGCAGTAGAACATGTGAAAGTTCCTGAAGTGGTGCCTGGAGAAGTATGGGAACTTTGTGCCCCTTCTTCCTCGAACTTGCGTCCTCTGTGTCAGCCTCTCATTGCTAAGATTGTGTGTACCACCATGCCAGTCTACTTTCACTCTTTTTTTTTTTTTGGCAGAACTGGGGTTTGAATTTGGGGCTACATCTTGAGCCACTCCCCCAGCACTTTTTGTGATGTTTTTTCAAGATAGGGTCTCATGATTTGCCCCAGCTGGCTTTGAACCACAACCCTCCTGATCTCTGCCTCCTGAGTAGCGAGGATTGCAGGTGTGACTGCCCACTTTCGTGCTTAATGGTGGCTTTTGATGAACCCAACCTCTTCATTTTAAGATTAGATAATTAGTGGGACCTGGGATATAGTTCAGAGGTGAAGTACCTGCCTAGTTAGTTGCACAAGCCCTGGGTTTAATCTCCAAAATTGCTCTAAATAAAGAAAATGTCTGGCCTTGTAAGAGTGGCACAGATACCTGTTTATTTGGAAAAATAAGGGGAAATTAATGTTATCTAATCTATAGGAATATGATCTTGAGAATTTAGAATCTTGATTTCTTGTCACTTGATTAGAAATAGATTTCTTCCTGTCTCTCTCCTTCCTTCCTTCCTTCCTTCCATCCATCATTCCGTCCTTCCTTCCTCTTTCCATCCTTCCTTCCATCCTTGAGTTGAACTCAACTTCATGCTTGCAAAGCAGGCTCTAAGCGCTCTGCTGCTTGAGTCACACCCCCAGTTCATTTTTTTCCTCTGGTTATTTTGAAATGGGGGTCTCTGGAACTATTTGCCCAGGCTGGCCTGGAACAGCGACTCTCGCCATTTCAGTCTCCCGAGTAGCTAGGATTACAGACGTGAGCCACTGTATCACCTTTAATTTTCTGATCTGTAAAATGTTCAAAGAAGTATTATTTTTAAGTATAAATAAAAACTATAAAATAAAATAAACAAGTCAATAAACAATGCAGTGTGATATTAAAAGTGCATATTAAGATATTTGAAATGACATGTATTTGAGTTAGGCTTAGAGTAGTCTATAAGTAGTGAGAAAAAATTAGAAAGAAAGGGTTAATAAACACTGTTACAACCAGGATTGTTTGTCTTGATAATCACATTCACTTCCCTGAGGAAGAAAATACTGCTAACAGCTTTACTTTATGTATTAAATTCAAGGTGATCCAGATATCTGCAAATGAAAGCCAAATGCCATTTATTTAATGTAATGGCCTTTCAAAAGGTAATGCCCTAATCACATTGCTGCCTGCTCCCTTCAGTAGAAATGCCAGTATATCTTAAGTAAGAAAGCAGAGAAAAAAGTATATATACAAATAGATAAGAAAGAATGTTTCAGAAGTCAGTGAAGCCTCTTCAATTTACAAATCAGTAATTTAGTATTTCAGATGAGATGTCATCTGATGTGTCAAGGAATACTGTTGCTTAAAACTTCCCTGCCAAAGTAGATATCTCCTAAAGATTGTTTCTAGACATGACACATTTCTCTTTTGACCCTCAAGTTTTATAAGAAGAAACATACTATACAAGTATCTTTGTTTAAATTTTATTCTATTATGTTGTGCCATTTTATTACAAATTAGGGCTGTTAGGAAACTAATATAAGAACATCTAGAATAAAGGAATGGAAGCTAGTATTTTTGATCTGCTATGTGTTACATACTATATATTGAGTCATATAGTTTTATATAGATTGACTTAACTGTTATCTTCATTTATAAGTGAGATAAGCAAAAGGTAGAAAGATTAAGTAATTTGCCCACTGTTTCTCACCTAGTTAGTGGCAAAAGCTGGGACATGAACCCAGCTCTTTTTATTCCAATGCCTATATTCCCTCTATGATACTCTTGTGCCCTTTTAGCAGATTACTTTGGAATCTTATTTATCAGGAAGATCAGCTTTGTTTGTTTAAGTGTAAAGTGGAGAGTTTATTGAGATTGAAATGGGAGAATTAGACCCCCCCCCCACAAGAGAGGTTGCGCAAGAAATGATGATCTAAGGTTTTTGTCCATTTTCTCCAGGGCATCACTCAGTCTCTATGCTAATTTGGTATAGAGAAAACGGCAATTTGGTTGCCTCTGTCAGCAATGTTCTAATTGGTCAGTCCTGATCCTCACACCTTTGGTCCTGCCTTTCCTTCTTTCCATGCTTTAAGATCACAGGGAGGTCATAATGGAGGTTTCCAGGGGCCCTTCCTTCTGTCTCACTCTCTCCTCTGAAGAAATAACCCTAACTGCCTTTAGGGAAAACGGTCAATGATTGCTTGTTTTGAAAAAAGGTCTTGCTTTAATACACCAGGCTGACCTTGAACTCAGTATCCTTTTGCCTCAACCTCCTGCAGGAATTACGATAGGTACCACTATATCCGGTTTAAGATCAGCTTTTAAAAAGAATGAGAGAGGAACAAAAAACAAGGAGACCAGGGAGGAGGGGGACATGGGTTAAGTGGTAGAGCCTCTGCCTACCAAATGCAAACCCCAGTAGTACAAAAATAAAAAGAATGGGGGGCTGTAAATGTAGCTCAGTGTAGGGCTCTTGCATGGGTTCAAGGCCCTGTGTTCAATTCCCAGCCCCACAAAATAAAGTAAAATGCACAAGTAAGTAGAAAAGACAAATTTCTGTGCAAGAAATCACAACTAATAGAGACTCCTGCAGTTTGAGAGAATGCAAAACCAGATTCATCAAAGCTGCTCTGGAGATTCAGGGACACCTCTAGTGGCATCCTTGACCCTAGTGTAGCATGATGCAATCAGGAAGACTCAGTCAAGGAAGGGAAAGGTTCAGTTTATATCCTCAAACTTTCCAAGGCTTATCAGAGAACAGACATCTGCCTGGAAAGTCTTGGAGCTCTGACCAGTCCAACAAAGTGGTTACCCAGAAGAAAAGAGGCAGGAGCTTTGGGCTAGTAGATACCACCGATCTTCCTCCCTGCTTAGCACAGAGCAAACAATAAAAGGAAAAATCCTGTCTCTGAGCTTTTCTGAGGGATGAAGTGAGTCCGTGTATCTAATGTCCCATCTTCTCCAGGACTTCCCAAAGAACTAGTGTCTCTCTCCAGTTTTTTGTTGTTGTTTGATTGGTTGGTTGGTGGGTTTTTTTTCTTTGTTTTGTTTTTTTGTGGTACTGGGGCTTGAACTCAAGATCTCACACTCGGTATGCAGGCGCTGTATTGGTTGGACCATTCACCTAGCCCATCTCTCCAGTTTTGATGCTCAGATAGGTCCAACCGGCTAGTTCTCCTCTGGGGAGAATGGAGGTGATAGCTTAAATGCTAAACACCATAGCTTCCCTTTATCCAGCTCGGCAGAGTGAACAGACAAAGGTATATAACTGCTTACTTCTTTTTGGGAGAGGGAAAAAAATTGGTAGAGACCCATAGAATCTCTGGCTGGGCAGATTGCTAGAG